GACAGCAGGAAGCTTTCCAACATAAGGATCATGTAGGTGGCTTGTTTCATTTGGTGAAAGGGGGACTTGGGGGGTTGGAACTCAGGACTAACTCCTGGCTCTGAGCTCAGGGATCACTCCTGGCTGTGCTGTGGGGACCGTATGAGGTGCTGGGAATTGAACCAGGGTCAGCCATGTGCAGAACAAGTACCTTCCCTGCTGTGCTCTTTCTCTGACCTCAGGCTTATGTTTTGAAAGATGGTGTCGGGGCTAGACTGGCGTGAGAGCTCAGGGATGGTGCTGTGGGGAGGCGGCCTGGTCCAGCAGCTGTGGGCCCTTCACAGACCTTCATGCCCAGGCACTGTTCTCAGCGCAGCAGGGAGGAGCAGCTTCCACCCTGGTGCAGCCCGGCTGTCCTGGCAAGAGACAGACAGCCAGAGAGCAGCTCCACAGCCATGACAGATGCACCTGGTGATAGAAAGAAAAACCTGAGAAGGGTGGAGATCAGGGAAGGCCTCTCAGAGGAGGTGGTTGTTTTGTAGGAAGCCAGGCAGTCATCTGTGCAGAGGAAACAGCACATGGCCAGGCCTGAAGCAGACTCGTTGCAGTGCCCCAGACAGGGCCGGTCCCTATGGGGCACAGCGGGGCAGGTGGAGGGCAGCTGTGCATGGTCGGGGGAGGCCCAGCAGGGTCATTCGGATGCTGGAGCTAGATGCTGAGGGACCCAGAGGCCCCACACGTCTCTGTGGAGTGGGGGTGGGGGCCACTTGGGGATCAGGAGAGGAGCAGCGCTGCAGCCCCGGAAGAGGACGAGCCCAGCCCTGCCCTGGTGGCTCCCCTCCCCCACCCGCACTGCGGCCTGTAGCAGCTTGTGCCACCCTGACTCCCGTGACTCCCTCGCACCCCCCACCACCCCAGACATTCGTCATAGGCACCCAGTGCCAGGCGCCCGCAGTGGGCTGAGATCCCAGGCCTGCTGCCACCCGGGCACCCTCAGGCCTGCCCCTCCCCTCAGGAGCATCCAGGCTTTTCAGAACAATTTGTCAGAGCAGCTGAGGGTTCCGGCGCCACGTGCAGCCCCACGCCCTGGGCGTTCCCACGGAGGCAGGAAACACGTGGCCTGGCGCCTGGCTAGGGGGCACAGCCCCGAAAGGTAACATGAGGGCCCCTGGGCTAGTGGGTAGGCTGGGGTGGCCATGTGCTGGGCCTCCTGGGAGACGCACGGTCAGCCCCCCACAGTCCCTGGAGGAAGCACAGGGGGCGCAGCCTTGCCTGGGCCCCAAGGTGGGTGTATCTGGCGGGTTGGAGAGCAGCTTCTGCGGGTGTTGGGGGGAGCAGACAACTGTATGCCCCCCCCCGAGTCCCCCTGCATGAGGTGGACCCAAGTCCTGAGGGCTCCACCTGTGTCTGCGCTGGGAGTCAGGGAACCACGGCCAGGACAGGGGTGGGGGGCGGGGAGTGGCAGGGACTGAAGACCCACGGGGTCGTGGGTGGAAGGGGGCCATTGACTGACTCAGCCTGTGCCAGGCCACAGTGGGTAGCGAGGAACCCACTAGGGTGAACAAGCACATCCCTGGGCTCTGGGTTCTACCTGTAACCCGCGCCACCTCCCACCTGCCCACTGCAGCCCGGCTTGGGGTTGCAACAGGACCTGAGGTGCAGTCCCAGGGTGCAGGGCTGGTCCAATTCCAACTCCCGCGAGGTTCTTCTGACGTTGCATGTCCTCCCCATGACTGCCATCCTGGTATGGACAGGTGCCCTCCCTCCAGCCAAACCTGGCTGTACCCCTACCGGTGTCATCACTTGGGGTTTTATTTACTCTCTCAGGGCCTTAGTTTCCCCACTTGAAAGAGGAGCCCAGTAACTCCTGCCTGTGAGCAGAGGCCTCTTGAGATTTTTTTTTTTGGGGGGGGATCATAGAGCTGGAGCGATAGCACAGCCGTAGGGCGTTTGCCTTGCATGCAGCCAACATGGCCGACCCGAGTTCGATTCCTCCGCCCCTCTCGGAGAGCCCAGCAAGCTACTGAGAGTATCTCGCCCGCACAGCAGAGCCTGGCAAGCTCCCCGTGATGTATTCGATATGCCAGACACAATAACAACAAAGTCTCCAATGGAGACGTTACTGGGCCCGCTTGAGCAAATCGATGAACAACGGGAGGGCCTTTACCTTTACCTTTACCCGGCGATGCACAGGGGTTACTCCTGGCTCTGCACTCAGGAATTACTCCTGTTGGTGCTTGGGTGTGGGGGACCATATGGGATGCTGGGAATCGAACCCGGGTCAGCTGCATGCAAGGCAAATGCCCTTCCGCCGTGCTATTGCTCCAGCCCCCAACCTCTGAGATTGTTGCCGGGGCAGAAGTGCAATTCCCTGCATGGATTGCCCTGCACCCGCAGAACCAGAGCTCCTCTGAAAGAGCAGTTATGATGCTGCCCTATGGCCAGGCCACTGACCCTCCACGCTGACCAAGAACCTCAGAGGCCCCTCCAGAGCTGCCAGGTGGGGTGGAGTGCAGGCCCCCCCATCCCAACTGAGCCCCAACAGTAGCCCTTTTATAACCAAAGCTCGGGGAGTGTGATCTGGTGGGGCGGGGCCTGACACGGCCTCCTCTCAGGAAGAAACTGAGGCTCACTGAGGGTGGGAGTGGTTGGAGTTGCGCTGTGGAAGATCCGGGTTCTGACTTCGTTCTTCTGCCCTGTGGTGTTGCCCACGTCACCAATGTGGAGTCCAGGATATGGCCCACCACTCGGGGATGTCCTGAGCGAAAGGACGTGTGTTGCTCCACGGGCAGCAGGGAATTAGGAACTAGGAACTCAGCCCTGCACGGCTTGTGGCCAGGGAGCTCTGGGGCACCCCCTCTCTGCATAATGCGGGCATGTTGCAGCCACCTCTGATTGCATTTTGATTTTTGATTTTTTTCGGGAGCCACACCCAGCAGTGCTCAGACTTACTCCTAGCTCTGCACTCAGTGATCACTCCTGGTGGGGCTCACGGAACCACATGTAGTGCTGGGGATGGAACCCAGGTAGGCCACGTGCAAGACAAGGGTCCTACTCGCTGTTCTACTCTCTGCTCTCTTCTTCTCAATTTTTTTTTTACTACTTTTTATATCAGTGGAATTTAACACTAGCTTTATTCCCCTGAAATATGGCAACTTTTCCCCAGTACAGCAGCATTTTCCTCTGCCCCTTTGTGTTATTTTTATCTCATCGCTGTCATGTCCATATGTGTTAGAAACCTACCGGTTCTGGGGTGGAGCGATAGTACAGCGGGTAGGGCATTTGCCTTGTACGCCACCGGCTCGGGTTCGAGCCCAGATGGTCTTCCGAGCCTGCCACACCCAAACCAGCAGTACAGTCATCCATCTGGTGGAAAGTTCCAGGCAATGCTCAAGGGTTACTCCTGACTCTGCACTCAGGAATCACTCCAGGCAGTGCTCCAGGGACCCTATGAGATGCTGGGGATCAAACCCGCATGCAAGGCAAACGCCCTCTCCCCTGCACTATCCCTCAGGCCCCTCTCTCTAAGCTTGATCTGACCCTTCTCTCTGACTGTCTTTATCTGACCGGTTCACTGCATGAGTTGGTGTGTGACCCATGGTTCTGCTGTAGCAGGATAGAGGAACCCCTCAGCAATATGCCAGATTCCCTCCGTTCTCCCCAGAGTGCAAAGGTTGTGTGTGCCAACGTTCCTTGGTATTTGCCGATGCAGTCCATGCCCCGCTCCATTGCCACAGTGCTGAAGTGGCTTCTGTTGCCTTTGTGCTTGCTGAGAAGGGACTCAGCACGCCCCCCAGTGTGGCCTTTGTCAGAGCCCCGCCCCTCGACACTGGAAAAATTAACCTCCAAAGGGATTTGCCGCCTCTACTCTGAAGGGCACTCATTTTCTCATTGAATACCTCTTATTGAAATGGAATTGGAATTTTATTAAACGTTTTGAAAGCTGATATGCCTCGGTGGTCAGCCCGAGAGAGCTTTAGGCTCATCACAGCTCTCCACTCCACAGGAATTCGGCACTGGAGCTGTGCTGTTTCTCTTTGGGATTTTTGTGGGGGCGGGGGGGGGCAAACGTGGTGGTATTCAGGGCTTACTCTTGGCTCTGTGCTCAGGGATCACGCCTGGCAGGGCTCTGGGGACCCTCCAGGGTGCTGGGCATCCAACTCAGGTCAGCTACATGGAAGGCAAGTGTCCTCCCCACTGTAGTATTACTCTGGCCACCAGGTGTTTCTTGTTTTGTTTCTTTTTCTTTTCTTTTTGAGTCACACCCTGCGATGCACAGGGGTTACTCCTGGCTCTGCACTCAGGAATTACTCCTGGCAGTGCTCAGGGGACCATATGGGATGCTGGGAATCAAACCCAGGTCGGCCGCGTGCAAGGCAAATGCCCTACCCGCTGTGCTATTGCTCTAGCCCCGGTTTTTGTTTTTTTTTTTGCAGTATTGGGGATGGGATTCTGGGCCTCACGCCTGGAAGGCAAGTACTTGCCCACTGAACATGTGTTTCACACAGTAAAAGGTTAAGACGGAAGCAGCAGACTGCAAGCCCTCGTTTCCTTTAGTGCCCACCCCGCCTGCATTTTGCTAGGTTATGCCCAGAGTCAGGGCTGCTGGTTGAGGGAGTTCACCTTTCCTGGGGACCTTCCAGGGATCCCTCCCAGCATTGCTCTTGCCACTGTGCAGGTTCCCCCAGGACACCCCTGCATTGCTCAGAAGCTTCCCAGGATTGAATCTGCCACATTCATGTCCAGTGCCTCACCTCCATGCCCCCTCTCTGGCCCTGACTGCGAGTCTCAGGAGGCACCAAATATGTCACAAGGGCAGCAGCCGGGGGTATGACTGCGGCTGTGCAGCTGTGACCTCCTGTTCACGCCAGCTGGGGTGTTGGCACTTTCAGCCCCAGCAATGCACTGGGGTATCTCATGCAGGAGCCTCTGCCATCTTCCCTGAGTGCCTGGGAGCGGGTCACCTCTGGGAACAGCGGCCTGGATGCCACTGCTCACGTCTTTGGTTTCCCCCTTTGCAGTGATATGAGCGCGAGGGCCACCTACCCTGCTCAGGTTTACAAGACGGCCAGCTCGGAGACCCCGCGGCCCTCGCAGCTGGCACAGCCCGGCCCCTTCCAGCTCTCCGCCTCCGTGCCCAAGTCCTTCTTCTCCAAGCAGCCCGTGCGCAATAAGCACCCGACGGGGTGGAAGAGAACGGACGAGCCCCCGCCACGGCCACTCCCCTTCACGGACCCAACACTCCCCTTCACAGACCCAAAGAAGTAAGGATCGGGAAACCCCGCCAAACTGCCTGGCTTCCTGGGGGGCACTGAAGCGGGGAGTGCCTGGCTTATACGTGGGCACACTCTGTCCATTGGGGCCACAGCGGGGAGCAGGCGGACGGCACTCATGTGGGAGACCGGGATGGGATGCGGGGTGAAGGGGCATCTGAATAACGTTCATGATGGCAAGAACAGTGTCCGCAGAGAGCCTGAGGCAGGGGCACCCTCCGCCTGCAGGGGTGGGGGGTAAGAGAGTGGGTGGGGCCAAGCAGTCAGAGGTGTGGCAGGTCACCGGGACCTCAGAGACCCTTGGCCGAGCTTTGGCATCTGCCTGGAGGATGTGGAGGGGTGTGATCTAAAGTGGGTGTTCGCAGCATGTGGTCTGTGAGCAGGGGAGGCAGCAGGAGCTGTGCCACGGACCGGGGGATGGGGGACAAGCTGGAGGGGTGGCAGTTGGGAGTTGATGAGCGGGAAAGAAGAATGTAAAGTTGATACTGTCCAAAGGTACTGAATATGCAGCTCCCACATTTTCACAGCAGCCCTGGGCCCTGCTCTCCCACCCCCATGGTGCTGGCCTTCTGGTGCCTTAGACCAGCCCCACGGGGGCCTCGGGGCTCAGGCAGAGGCGCTGTCTCCTGGGGACTCAGCCAGGCAGAAGCACTTCCCCCCAGATCGCCACCAGTGGGGTCTTGTAGCTCTCCGGCCCCCACACCCAGCACCTTGCAGTCATCACTTCCCCCTGCTCCAGCATCCATCCCAGGACAGAGATCACTGTGTTCCAGCCACTCAGTGCCACACAGAGCCTGTGCATCCACCCAGGGTCCGGGATATAGTAGTACTCAGAAAAGAGATGCAATCCCCAAGGGCCTTTTACCTCTGTGCATGTGCCAACATCATACGTGTGGAACAGAGGACCAAGAAAATGGTCCCATCTTGCTTTGCATGTGGGAGTCCCAGGTTCGGTCCCTGGAACCACAGGGTCTGCCCAGCCACCACCAGGTGAAGCCCCAAAACAGAAAGGGAAGAAAAGGGAAGGAAAAAGTACCTGTGAACTGTAGGCTGCCTACAGCGTTTGGGGACACAAAATAGTCCGAGAGTGACCAACGCTCACTGATGCTGTTTATTAATTTACAGATAGGATGTTCGTTCCCCTTTCCTCCATGTTTGTTTTCATTCCCCTGCCTCCCTTTTCCCTTCCCTCTTATTGACGATGTTGATGATGTGACCATTGGGGTGTCCCACAGCTTGGTTCTGACTCACTGCGCATAGCCACAGAGTTTGCAGGGGCACTCCCCAGGGGTTCGCTCGGGAGTTGGTTTTGTTTTTCTTTTTGGTTTTGTTGTTGTTTTTATTTGGGGGTCACACCCAGTGGTGCTCAGGGCTGATTCCTGGCTCTGCACTTAGCATTCATTCCTGCCAGGGCTCAGGGTAACCTCTGGGGTGCTAGGGATCAGACCTAGGTTGGACGTGTGCAAAGCCAACACCTTCCCCGCTTTCCTGTCTCCCCAGCCCACCACTCTTATGTTGAGGCGTAGATTCTGGCCATGGTGCTGGCTGGAGGCTCGTCCACTACTCACAAATGTGCTTGCAAGGCTGCCAGGAAGAACATTGATGGCAAAGCCAAAACCCCTGCCCCCCGCTCCCCATCCCTTAACCACCCCCCACCTCCAACCCACCTTGGTGCCTGAGACTCCAGGGATTGAGTGAATTCTCCACCTTAGACTCACTCAAAGGCAGGTCAGTGCTCTCAGCTGGCCAGTTGGCCCTTGAGCCCCTGCAGATAGATTTTTTTTTTTAATTTGGGCAACACTGGCAGCACTCAGGCCTAAGTCCTGGCTCTGCAACCAGGAATCACTCCTGGCAGTGCTCTGGGACCATAAATGGTACCAGGGATCGACACAGGGCCAGCATGTGCAAGGCAAGTGCCCTCCCTGAACAACTATCTTTCTGGCCCGAAAGATAGAGTTTTCAAAATTGGTGTGCATATGACACTTGGCATAGATAATTCCCCTATGCCCCCAAAAGAAAATTCAACTTGCATAAGATACTGTGTCAGCTTTGATTATTACTTTTGTCCACACATTCCATCTCATAAAAAATGTTTTAATAAAACATTTTTTATGAGATGGAATGGAGCAAGTGTCTTCATTGTTAGAGACACTTCAGAGTCATCTACCCTAGTTTTTAAGAAACACTGTCGGTGCCAGAGCAATAGTACAGCGGGTAGGGCATTTATTTGCCTTGCACACGGCCGACCAGGGTTTGATCCCAGGCATCCCATATGGTCCCCTGAGCACCGCCAGGAGTGATTCATGAGTGCAGAACCAGGGGTAACCCCTGAGCATTTCCAGGTGTCACGCAAAAAGCCAGAAAAGGAGAAACATTGTCTTCACTTCCAGTCAAATTATTTATTTAATTTTTATTTATTTATTTATTTATTTACTTTGCTTTTTGGGTCACACCCAGAGATGCACAGGGATTACTCTTGGCTCTTGACTCAGGAATTACACCTGACGGTGCCCAGGAGACCATATGGGATGCTGGGAATCGAACCCGGGTGGGTCACGTGCAAGGCAAACACCCTACCCGCTGTGCTATCGCTCCAGCCCCTTAATTGTTTATTTTTAAATAATGTAGGAGTACTGCTATTCAGTCAAAGTATTTTAGAGGAAAAAAAAATAATGTGTTTGGTTGTTTTTGTTTTTTTAGTTTGGGTTGGTTCTGTTTGGTTTTGTTTCCCAATCTCTCTATGGAGAAACCTTTCCACAGTGCACAGGAACTCGTTTGCACTAGTTATTCGCCTGCATTCATTGGTGCCCATTGCTTCCCCTCTGTGCACCCTCACTGCGAGCGGCTTCCTCCATGCTCAGTTCCCAGGGTGCAGAGAGCAAGACGCAGCATGGCAGAGCCCCAGGACAGTGAAGGCCGACTGCGGTGTGTACTTGCCCGTGCCAGCCTTGCGCTCCGTCCCCAGGGGGTTCAGAGCTCAGCCCCACAGAGCCGTCCTCAAGTCTGCTGAGTTCCCTTCTATTCTGTCGGGCCCCCCACCAGGGAATCCTGTCCTGACCCTCGTTTTTGACCGGGAAACTGAGGCACAGTAGGTCTGCCACAGCTGCAGGTGGGAGAGAAGAACCAGGATCCAGGCCTAGAGGCCTCAGCCACGAGGCAGTGACAGTTTCACAGGCTCACTGCATGGAGGAAATGGTCTCCCCCAGTTCTTAGTGCGTGCTCTGCTGGTAGCATGAAAGGAGGGGTCAGGGTCCAGAAGGTCAAGCACCTGCAGCAGGGGTATCTTTTGCCACAGGCCCTGGCCGGCAGCCAGCGGGAACATCCCTGCAGCATCCCCTTAGGTAATGCTCAGGGTTCCCCAACTTCACTCTGTTCTTCCCTTTGTTCATTGTCCCGGCATGAGAAGGCCAGGAGAAAGGGGGCCAGGCAGGTATCCCCCAACCACCCTCCACCCCTTGGCTTCCCTGTCTCTGACACCTGGACACTAGCGTGTACCACCGGTGGTGCGCCCTTGAATGTGCTTTACTTCACACACATTGCAGTGCCAGCATCGACATGTTCAACTGGTGTGACCGTTCCTCCCCCAGGGTTGACGTATGAACAGACGGTGTTGCTAGCGGGTGGGTTTCCGGGCTGACTGGAGGCCGGGCTCAGCCTCCTCCGTGTCTGCTCCCCCTGCCAGCCTGGTCCCCTGCATTGGGCACCGGCCCTGCCATGACTACCAGGTGGCCCTCAGGCTAATGTAGCTCTGAGTTGGTCTCTGCCATTCCAGTGGCTCCCGCACATGCCACTTCCCCTTGAGTTTATGGACCAAGCCCATATGCCACACGAACTTGTCATCAGACACACTTGTAGGCCCCCCAACTGCATCCCATGGCCTGGACTTGAAGAAGAGGAGGTGGCCAAGGGACAGCGTGTGGGAGCGCCAAGGAGAGTGACTCAGGGGGTCAGATGCTTCACTGTAAAATTCACAAGGCCCCAGATTCCACCCCCAGTGCTTCCCACCCCCCCCCCAAAAAAAAAGGACGGACACGTGTGAGTTTTACAGCGGGTTGCAGTGCTGAGGCCAGAGCAGTGCTGGGGCAGAGGCTCAAGTTCCTGTCCCTGCTACCACCACCAGAAGTCAGAGCATCTGAGGGCACCAGGGTGACGGGAGCCCCTGCTCGCCCCACAACCCTCCCCTGCAACTCTCAGGGTGCTCAAGGCACCCGGCAGAGACCCCGAGAGGCCCTGCTCAGTGTCCACTGCATTTCCTCAGCCTGAGAAGGAAGGAGATGGGGGTGCCTGCACCCAGGGGGTGCAGATAGGGGTCCCCCTTGTGGTGTGGGCCGAGAGGCACTGAAATCTGGTGAGTGGCCCCTGGTGTCCAGTCATGCCTTCCTCAGGGTTGAGGCCCCAGCCTGGGTCTGTTTCAGAGTCGCCACAGTGGGTGGGGGACGTGAGTTCCTGCTCCCACAGGCCTCTCCCAGCCGGCCTTCCAGGAAAGCCCGCGGCCGCCTGAGATACAAACCTGGCAAGTGTCCTTGCCAACCACGTTGGCAGCGCCCCCGGCTCGGGCAGGCCCACAGCAGTGCTAATCAGCTTAATTAGCCGGGCCCCGAGGGAGCCGCCCCAGTTGGAGGCCGGACACGCGTCAGCCATGTCTGAACCACCACGGTCGCTACCACTTAGGGCTCTGCTTTGGCATTTTCTGCCCACCTTTTTTTTTTCCTTTTTCCTCATTATTAAAATGCTTTTATTATGTATTGTAGAGATTGTACTGGGTAAAGCACTTGTCTTATACAAGGCTGACCCTGATCTAATCCCTGGCCCTGTGTATGGTCCCTGGAGCCTTGCCAGGGGTCATCCCAGGGCACAGAGCCAGAAATAAGCCTTGAGCATTGAAGGCTGTGGGCTCCTCCTATAAAAGAAATTATTCTGGGGGCGGGGGGTGAATTCTGCAGCCTGGGATTCTGTCCAGTGCTGTCGTGCAGGCCCCTGAGCAAAGCCTTGTCCTTTTGGTCCTTCCTTCCTCCCTGGTTCTGGTCTCCACCCCTGGGATTGAGCTCCGGGCCTCAGAGCAGGGCACTTCTCTGCCGCCGAGTCACGGCCCAGCCTGTTTGGGTTGGCCTGTGGGTTGGTCTGTGGCTTTTTGTTGTGATTTCTTTCCTCCTCCCCTCCCTTTGTGGTGGTGGTAGCAGGGATGACGGCTGAGGGCCTCCCGCGTGCGGCTGCGGCATTGGCTGGGGGCGCGCCAGACACTGTACACTTGTGGCACGGAGGATCTCGCGGCGGCACCCCATGGATGGCACTGCACTCAGGGCGGCGCCTGGACAATGCCGTTCAGGCCGGCACTCCGCCTCGGCGTGCTCCCCTGTTTGGATTTTTTCCCAAGCTTGAGACTAATGCCACTCCAACTGTATGGCTGCCGTTGGCAGTTGAGAAAACAGGTTGGGGAATTCTTCCAGGAGACAGAGTAAGCGCAGAGCCAGGGTAGCCCACCTTCGGCAGGGACTTCTCAGACTCGGCCCTTTAGATCGGCAGCTGCTGGCCAGCAGTGCCCAGCTGAGGTCCCCCGCAGTGACATGGGCCGTGGGGATTTGGGGCTTCAGAGAAGGTGCTGGTGTGGTCTGTGCTGGTGGTGGCTTCTCACTGTGTCCAGGAGCAACTTAGCAAATGAATAGAGTGACATATCAGCACCAGTGGGTACCATCAGCGGCCCCCGCTTGAATGTGGCACACTTAACCCAGCTGCAGCACCAGAACCAGGATAGGAATGACTTGTTTGTTTTTTGCTTTTGCATCCGCTCCCAGCGATACTCGGGGCTTGCTCCTGGCTCTGTGCTCAGGGCTGACTCCTGATGGGGCTCACGGGATCACATGGGGTGCCGGAAATGGAACCCAGGTTGGCTGCATTCAAGGCAAACACCATGTGTCCTATTTTATCTCTTTGACCCATAACTTGTTCTTCCTAGTTTGTTGTACCCCTTCCCTTTTCTTTCCTTTTTTTCTTTTTTTTTTAAACTAATCAAAGAACTTTATTAACCTTTTCTTCAAACTTGATTCCCAGAATTCTTCAGCTTAACTAGCTGCAAAGAATGGGTTGTGTACTAACAAAAACTGGGGAAAAGATGTGGCAGTGTCCACGGGGCTTGAGCTTAAAAATATTCAATCTAGATCTTATTAGAATCTTGAACAAGGGGCCAGAGCGATAGTACATTGGGTAGGGCGTTTGCAGGATGGCAGGCGTCTGAAGAGCGTTTTGCAGGCACCCACTGTGCTATTGCTCAGGCCCCAAATCTTCAAGTTTTATCTACTTCAGAAGTTGTCTCACTTCAATGTGCTGCATTCTTAGAAACCTCATCAGAATTCTCCTCGGTGGGAGCCAGAGCTGTAGTACAGCAGGGATGGAGTTTGCCTTGCACACAGCCAACCTGGGTCTGATCCCCAGCACCCTATATGGTCCCCCTGACCCCCACGAGGAGTAGTTGCTGAACACAGCCAGGAGTCGGCCTTGAGCATTGCCAGGTGTGGCCCAAACACCAACAGAAAGTTTCTGGCAAGCATTCCTGTCAGCTGCGATATCTCAGCATGCCCAGTCATGGTGCGTGTTTGCTGCCAGGAGGGCCTGAACTTTAGGGATATTAATATGAATCACGGTTGGGGCTGGAGCAATAATATCACAGGGCAGGGCAGTTGCCATGCACGTGGCCAACCTGCGTTCAATTGCCAGCATCCCAGGTGGTTCCCTTGAGTCCACCAGCATGATCCCTGAGCTGAGAGCTAGGAGTCAGCCCTGAGCACTTCCAGGTATGGCCCCAAAACTAAAGCAAGTAAGGACCAGAGCGATATAGTCCAGCAGGGAGGGTACTGGCCTTGCACGCAGCCGACCCAAGTTTGATCCCAGACATTCCATATGGTCCCCCAAGCACCACCAGGAGTAATTCCTGAGTGCAGAGCCAGGAGTCACCCCTGAGTATTGCCCGATGTGACCCAAAAAGGGAAAAAGAAAAGAGAAAAATAACAACTAACAAACCCATGCATCACTGTTCTCGACTTGTGAATTTACTCACCTCTTCCATGCCAGAGATGCTGTTTCCTCCCGACTTCTTCACTGAGAATGCAGGTTTTCAGCCTCTCTGTAGCTGCTCTCTGAACCAGCTTCTTTCTGTGAGTGGTTGCTTTCTCCCTGAACCAGCTTCTTTCTGTGAGTGGTTGCTTTCTCCCCAGGGCACGCTCATGCCTTCCAGCTTCTCCTGGTTCATCGTTTCTTTCGTCTGGGTGGAGCAGAAATGGGGCTGCATCAGGAACGCGGGGGGGAGGGGGGGCTCTTATCAGGTCCACCAAGATGAGATGCACACGCACAGGGCTGCCTGCCTGTCCCTTCCCACTGTTGTTGCAGTGACTAAGGGCCGCAGCTGGTGCCCAGGCCCTGCAGCTGGACTGCGGGATGCCCGAGTCCAGCGCTCAGCCTGCAGGTCTGTGCCCCTCATGCCTCTCTAACAGGCGCCCTCCCGCCAAGCCATGTCCTTGGACCCTTCACTGTGAGAAGCACTGGATCACTTCAGCGGGCTGGGGAGGGAAGAGGGGAGGGCCAGGGGCTGCAGGGAAGGCTGGATTTGTGGGAGACGTATTTAGCCGGCACGCTGGAGGGCTGCAATGTGGCAGGCCCTGCCCCCACCCGCTACGGGATGTATAGGGCACAGGAGCCTGGGGGGGGGGGGGTGGAGCGGGCCCCCAACCACTCCAGCACACACCACAGAGCAGGGGCCGAGCACAGGAAAGAAACGGGCCAGGAGGCTGCCCTAGGAGGTCATGTGGTCCTAGGGAGGCCTCCTGAGACCTCCTGAAAGGTGACATGAAGCTGGGAGGATGAGTAAGGCCAGCAGGGAGGCCACTGGAGCAAAGGCCCTGAGGCAGGGTCCTGCCTAATGTGTTCTGGGAGAATGGGGGGGGGGGAGGGAGAGCTGATGAGCAGGGCAGATGGTACGGGACACCCCGCCCCAACCCCATCCCAGGCTCTGTTTGTTAGAAAATGTCTCTCCCACCTGTTCACCTGGTAGGCTCCGTAAACTTGGGCATGCCCAGCTGGGTATTGAGTTTAGTCTTTTAAGGGGTTTCCCAGGGACTGAGAGAGAGTGGGGTGAGTGTGCTGGCCTTGCTGCAGCTGGCTGTGCCTCAATCCCCAGCACCATGGACGTGTCCCGGAGGCAGAGCCAGGAGCAGGCCCCGAGCCCTGCTGGGTGTGGCTCCAAAACAAAACAACAGACCGAGATGCCCCTAAGCGTAGCCCTGGGGCAGAGACCCAGAGGCAGGGGCATGCCTGGTGTGTTCCGGGAGCATGGTGGGGGAGAGAGCTGGTGAGCAGGGCATATGGCATGGGGACCCCCATACACACCTGGGTGCCCCACCTGCCACCTCCTTGTGGCACCCAAAGGTAAGGAGTGGCCCACAGAGACAGCGGAAGAGTCCAGGAACACAGTGGGGTCTCTGGGGGGCTCAGTTCCAGGTGTTGCTCACCCAGCATGGGGGGGTTCCCGGCTCCCCTGCTCCCATGCTGGGTCAAGGTCTGCCAGCCCCTCTGTGCCCTGCTGCCATTGGACTGGCTCAGAGATGGCAGGGGGTGGGGGAGGGTCACCCTACCTGGCCCCTATGTGAGAACACACATTCAGACCACAGGACTTTCTAGAAGGTGGTAGGGTGGGGAGGCTTTGAGGGCCCCAAAGAGAACAGCGGTGGTCAGGCTGACCCCAATCCCCAGGTCTAAGATCTCCAGAACCGGAAGGGGGCAGCAAAAATGGGGGTGATGGTGCCACTGCAGACCTGCCCCTCGCAGCTCCTGAAACATGCCCACGGCCTTTCTATCACACCAGGTGCCTCACTCCCTCCCACAGGGGAGCGCCCTTTCTGGTGCTGCCCCCCACAAAACCCCGATGGCACCGCCACTACACAGCTCAGCACATTATCCCCACCTTCACCCCTGTAGGAATGCAGGGGTGAAACTAGTGGGACCGTGTCTGGCACTTTCTCCAGGGAGGGAGGGAAGAAAGTGGCTAGAGACACCCCACCCCCAGGTCACTCTGACCCCATCCCCCTTGTTCCAGGCAGGTGGACACCAACACAAAGAATGTCTTCGGGCAGCCACGGCTGAGGGCGTCCCTCCGCGACCTGCGCTCCCCCCGGAAGAACTACAAGTCCACCATCGAGGATGACCTGAAGAAGCTCATCATCATGGACAACCTGGCGCCCGAGCAGGAGAGAGAAGCGGGGGTACAGTCAGCGGCCCCCAGAATCACACCCAGGGGGGATAGCAGTCCCGAGGCTGGGAGTGTGGCACCTGAGTCAGGGCCTTAATTGTAGAATGAAGGAGCAGCGAGAAACGAGGGGGCTTGGGCCCCCAGAACCTACCACCTTGCTGGGCTCCGTAGGGCTCTCATCGGAGCCCCCAGCTCATTCCCTTTCATGGGCCCAGCAGAGAATGCCCCCCCATCTCTATAGACCACCATGAGCAGAGGGGGGACCCCAAGGGAGGTTGGACTCTGGCCCCAACAGGGGAAGGAGTGCCAGACCCTTTGGCGCCCGTGCTCATTGTCCCCGTGCTCTTATAGGGACCCAGACAGCTCCTTGGCAGCTGGGAGGTGCGTGGGGGGCTCGATCCCCATGGTGCCAACACAGTCGCTCTCAGGCAGGCTCACCCCACCTTCCAGAAACTCACCCAGGGAGAGAGGGGAGGGAGGGTCGGCCCTCCAGAACTTGGGGGACCTTGCATGGGACGGAAATGGGCACAGGTCAGCCGCCGAGACCTCCGAGGGCCGTGACCTGAGCCCTAATGACCACCCTGTCCCCGTCCCTGCCACAGTCGCCGCAGAAGGGCCTGCAGCGGACGCTGTCGGATGAGAGCCTGTGCAGTGGACGTCGCGAGCCCGGCTTTGCCAGCGGTGGCCCCGAGTCCGGGCTGCCCAGCGACGTGATCTTCACCAGCACCTGCGCCTTCCCAGCCAGCACGCTGCCCGCGCGCCGACAGCACCAGCACCCCCACGCGCCGGGGGGCCCCACCACCGGCCCCACCACTGGCAACGGCTTCCCAGAGAAGAGATGTGAGCCCGGAGCTCCTGGGGCAGGGGGCTGGTCCAGGGAGGAGGCGGAGTGCTTGGGAGCACTGGGTGTTGCTCGCGCTGTTTTTTGCCAAGTGTCCAGGGCCATCTCTAGAAATCTGGGATATTCCACAATTAGGTCGTCTGAGACCAAAAAGGGGGTGCCCCCACGGCTGTGTAGCTAGGGGTGCCGAGGCACAGGGGTCACCCCAACTCCCCACACCAGCCCAACTGCCCTTTACTTACCCCCCCTGCCTACTACTCTCTGGGTGCCTCCACCAGCAAGGATCTCCCACATGCGCCCCCAGAAGCAGTGCCTACACCGCATTGCCTTCTTCCACCTGCCTCTCAGCCCTTCCCACACGTCTGGCCAGAGTCTGGCAGGACCCCCTGCACCTGCGCCACACCCCCTGGGGCTTCCTTTCCACCCTCCTTTAGTCCCCTGAGAGCTGGATGTACGAGTCCCCACCTCGGGCCCACCCCTATCCCACACCCACCACTCAGGGTCCTGTGTAAACTTTCTCCTCCCCGGCCCTCACAGATGCCCCCCGTGTGCCCCCCTCACCAGCCCTATGAACACCTGCCTCCAGTCACATCCTTCCTGCCCTCCCCTCTCCTGAGGTACAGCTCACTTCCGGCCCACCTGTCCCCTCACTGTCCTCCTTCCCCCAGAGAGCAGGCACTGACATTCGTCTCCCCCGGAATGCTTTTCCTCAGCATCCCAGCCCACCCTCCCCGCCCCCACTGCCCAGCATTATGTTGGTTCAGTCATTTCACCCCAGCCTCGGCAAGGCCGCCCCTGAAACCCTTTTGAAAACGGAGCCCGGGTAGGCACCTGGCATTTAGCAGTGCCTTGCGGTGTAGCACACTGGGCAAGGCGAGGCGTGGCGCTCAGAGCAGGGAATGTAAAGTCTCATGCAGGACTGGGAAGCGCGTGCTCATTTCTTCGTTTCTCCCACCTTGTCTTTCTCTGGCATCTCCCGGTGCCTCCCACTCCCAGCCACCATCTCTTCCTCGGAGCTCTCTCTGGCCGACGGGCGGGACCGGCCACTGCGACGCCTCGACCCCGGGATGATGCCACTGCCTGACACGGCGGCCGGCCTCGAGTGGTCCAGCCTGGTGAACGCAGCCAAGGCATACGAAGGTAGGCACCATGCACCCAGCCCTGCCTTGCCCCACTGTCCTAGAATGATCCGTGGAGGGCCTTGGGGCTTTGAAAGGGAGTTGCACACACTAGCTTTAAAAGATCCGGGGAGCTGGAGAGATAGTACAGTGAGTAGGGCGTTTGCCTTGCACGTGGCCAACCTGGGTTCAAGTCCCAGCATCCCATATGGTCCCCTGAGCACTGCCAGGAGTGATTGCAGAGCCAGAAGTATCCCCTGTGCATTGCCGGGTGTGACCCAAAAAGAAAAAAAAAGACAGGAGCAGAGCAGTAGTACAGTGGGGAGGGCGCTTAGCTTGCACTTGATGGATCCAAGTTCAATCCCCAGCATTTCAGATGGTCGCCTGAGCATCACGAGGTGTGGCCCAGAAACAAATCCGAGAGCTGGGTTCTCAGGTAGCTCTCTGACTGGCTTCCTCACGGTGCTCATGGCTCCCTTCCTCTTGATTCAAGGTGACCTTGTCTGCAAAGCAGGGCGGGCACTTTGCATGTGGAGGCCCAGGTTTCCTACTCGGCACCACATGGCCCCCCGACTCTGAGCCAGTGGCCCCTCAACTCCGCTGTCGTGGCCTAAAATTAAAGTAAAACAAAATCGAAACCGACCTGGAGCTCCCAGAGCGAGAAGCAGCAGTGAAGTGTGGGAAACACAGTGGGTAGAACATGTCAGGGGGATCAGATACTCCCGGGGGTTAGGTGCCCTGCATGCAGCCAAATTCTGGTCAAATCCAGGCACTGCATACAGTCCCCTGAGCACCACTCGGAGGAATCTCTGAGCACAGAGCCAGGAGTAAGCCCCGAGTACCTCTGGATGTATGTGTCCTTTGGAAAACAAAAAAGAGAAAAGAAAGCCACATCAGGCTCAGAGCAAGCCCTCAACAGATGGTATCTTACTGCAGCTCAAGACTGTTGTCATCAAAATGGTATTTAGAATAGAATTCACTGCAAGTGGCAGAAAACCCACATTAACAGTGGTGTAAACACACAAGGTTTCCTGCAGGTAAAAATTCCTGGGATAGGCAACCTGGGGCTGGCACTGCCGCAAGCTCATTAGGCCCCATATGCCTTCCCTGCTTTTGTTCCCATGGGCCTCACCACCACAGGGAGGCTGCTAGAGCTCCGGCCATCACTTCCAGCTCTGATCAGCAGGAGAGAGAACACATCTCTCCCCCACTTACAGAGGCTTCCCCAAAGCCTCACTTCTTTTTGCTACACTCACTGCAGATAAGGCCACACCTACCTTCAGGAGAGACTGGGCAGTGAAGCAAAGTGCTAGGTTAAACTTTGGGACTTGCTGTTTATTCTGGGAAAGGAGGTAGTTGAGGGTGTGCAGCCTCGTTTTTTGCCCTCATTGCCGACTGCCTTTGGCGTGTGGCTCACCTTTCGAGCTTCAGTTGTCTTGTCTTTAAAACAGAACTCCTGGTGATTCCTGACAGATACACACTCATGTGGCTTATGGATTCGTCTTGTTTCTTTTGTTTTTGTTCATTTTGGGGGCCAGACCTACCAGTTCTCAGGGATTACTCCTGGCTCTGCTCTCAGGAATCACTCTTAGTGGTGCTCGGGGGACCCTATGTAGTGCTGAGGATCAAACCCAGGTCGGCCGTGTACAAGGCAAGCGCCCCACCCACTGTCCTATGTCTCCAGCCCTGTGGTCCTTTAGGCCATAGCTCTGCTCGTCCTTCTGCAGGAAGCCCACCCTGCTACCCCCGAGCCTAGCTCAGGCACCTCCTCTGCTTCCTCAGCTTGTGCGCCCCCAGCCCCCAACCCCAGCCCCCAGCCCTAGGCCATCACTGGCTGACTCTGTCCGGAGGACCAGAACCTGGGCTGTTTGGGCCCAGCCATGAATCTGAAGCAGACCCCCAAAGCAGGCCTCCACCTGAAGGGGTGTCGGAATCAGTCCACCCCAGCAGGCGACCCCCAGGCAGCACCTCCCTCTCTCCCCTTCACTCCCCGCTTCTCTCTGTTCTGCATCCTCCCACAGAATGCAGGTCGCCAGGCCCCGGGCTGGCCAGTTGGCATGGAGGGAAAGGTCAGAGAACAAAAAACCGGCCGCCCAGCTTCATGCTGTGGAACCGGTGGGGAGTGGCCACCAGTCAGTGTCCACACCACAGATAAATGTGAGTGAGTGTTTCTGGCTGCCCGGCTCAGTGCAGGGAGAGTGCTGGGTGCACTTCCCAGAGGAGGTGACTCCTAGAGCAGCTGCTCAGTCCCCTTACAAGAGCTGCCCAGCCTGAGACCAAGATCACACCCGGTTTGAGCTGCCCCCTTTTGAAAGACACTGAGACTCTCTCAGCAGGATCAGTGGGAGGGAGTAAAACTCCCTGAGAGGCCCTCTCAGCCCCAGGCTTCCCAGAGGAGCCCCGGTTCTGAAGCGTTGAGTCCCCGAGCGTGGGGAGGTTTCCCAGGCCCTGAAATCTCTACACCCACCAGGCACTGGTCCCACAGCCCAGGGTACCCCCCCACACACACACCAGAGCACCCCTGTGCGTTTCTGACCAGGAGACTGAAACCCCTGAGTGCAGGTTCCAGGGACCGCCCCCACTCTCAGAATTGATCCAGTTGATCCAGTTGCCAGAAAGCTCAGGGCCACGCTGCCGGCCCCGACTCCCCCCAGCCCCCCAACCCCCACGTGTGTGAGGAGCTGAGATTGCACAGCCTGCGACCGCAGGAGGCGGCCCCACGGCCGGGAGCTCCTTTCCCCTTGGAGCCGGGGTGCCTCAGCCTCCCCATGTGGGCGTGATCGCCCCACAGGAACTTCTCTTAGATTTTGGAGAAGCTTCCTGGCGTGGGCCCGACCAGCTGTCACTCTGTTTCCAGCTCTCGCCGCGTGGGGGGCAGGGCTGCAGCTCAGAGATCCACGTTCCCCGTCATGGCAGGGCCCACCTCAGGTCACCCCAGGAGAACAGGCGATGCCCCCCATCCTGTCACCACCGCCCAGAGGACCACAGGCTGCCTGGAGCCCTGTGAGCAACCAGGGACCAAAACAAACGCTTTCTGCTGTGCACATCCCGGGCTGTTTGCTGGGGTTTGTGGAGGGCATCCAGGCCTGCACTGTTTCCTCTCCTCTCATCCCTACATCCCAACATACTGCAGCCAGTACCCCCTCAGAAGGCGAGTGGGACATTGGAGCCACCCCCACCCTGCTCCCCAGGACCTTATGTTAACCTCCTCCTGGCCAGATGATTCCACTCAATGAATCCTGAAGAAGTGAGCAAAATACAGAACCCTTAGTTGAACACCAAAGCAACAATTATGGATGACTGCTAAAAACGGGGTGATTAGGAGCCGGGTAGTACAGTTTCCCCTGCAGGCGGCTGACCTGAATTCGCGGCCCAGCACCCATATGGTCCCTTAAGCACTACCAGGAGTGATCCCTGAGTACAGAGCCAAGAATAAGCCCTAAGCATTGCCGGGTTTGGCCAAAGAAAAGGGGAGGGGTGCCGATGTAAGCAGATGGAGGATATTTGCAGAGTCTTAAAGTCACCCCAAAATATTTGACACCTCCTCTGCTGCCAACAGAAAGTCCCTCTTGTCCCTCCAAGAGGTGGAATTCAGTCCCCCTCCAAGGGGACACTGAATTGGGGGTTTCCCTTCTAGCAACCTCAGTAGTAAACAGAGATGCGGGCCTGGGAGACAGCTCAGTCAGGGGCCAAAGCACGAGGACGTCAGCTCTGCAGGCCTGGAGGGACTCCCTGGCATCAGTCCCATATGGGCACGAACCTCAACCTGATCTGAGTAGAGGCCTCCGCCACCCCCCAACACACCCCAGGGGAGAGCTCATGATGGGCCCAGGGAAAGATCCCAGATGAAGCAGGTGAGCGGGAGCCCTGGAGACCCCAGGATCAGGACTGGAGGGCGTGGGGCCCCAAAAGCCAGAGCGGTGGGGTAGTTGGACTGGAGACAGTGTTCCTGCCTTAGATTTGGTCACTGCCCTGTTTCTGGAAGAATCCCTCATCAGGGGAGGTGGAGTGCAGGGAATGCGTGCTTCTGCGCTTACCAGTGACTCTGCAGTTCCAAAATTAAGGGTTTGGGGGCGGGGAGTACAATGGGTGGGGCACTTGCCCTGCATGCATCGAAGCCACGTTCAATCCCCGATACCTGTATGGTCCCTCAAGCCCCACCAGTGGCCAGAGCGCATGCTCTGAGCACAGAGCCAAAAGTATGCCCCGAACACCGCTGGGTGTAGCCTAAAAACAAAGGGGGGAGGGGCCAGGGCTACTGTACTGTTGTACAACGGAGCAGGGAGGGCACTTGCTTTGCAAGTGGCCAGTCCAGGTTTCATCCCAGCATCCCAAATCCAAACCCAGGTGGTCAGGAGTTACCCCTGGTCCAGAGCCAGGAGTAGGCCCTGAGCACTGCTGGGTGTGGCCCTAAAAGCAAACAGAAAGCACAAATGAAGGAGGGAGGGAGGGAGGGAGGGAGGAAGTGAGGGAGGGGCCTCCCCATGTGGATGCTAGGAAAGGCCTTTTCCTTCCTCCGGCCCCTCTCTTCCCTTTCAGCGTTGTTGTTATTGCATGACCCATGATGGAGTCTCACGTGCTGTGGTGACCCCCAGCCTGTCACATTGTTGTTCTGAAGCCAGGCCTGGTCATGCTGAGCAGCTACTCCCAGCTCCCAGGAACCTGCATGTTCTGTTTGGGTCTTTTTTTTTTTTCTGCCTTTTGGGTCACACCCAGCGATGCACAGGAGCTAGTCCTGGTTCATGCACTCAAGAATTACTCCTGGCGGTGCTCCGGGGACCATATGGGATGCTGGGAATCGAACCTAGGTTGGCTGCGTGCAAGGCAAACACCCTACCCACTGTGCTATTGCTTCAGCCCCTCTGTTTGGGTTTTGATCCCTGTGCTTGGGGGTCATTCCTGGCAGCACTCTGGGGACCATATGGGTTGTTGGGGTCGAACCCAGATTGGCCACATGCAAGGCTGGCAAGGCTGCACTATCTCTCCGGCCCTGCCACTAAATTTTATCTGCTTCCAGGCCTGTCTGAAATTGTTTACGCTAAAATATTTTCAAAGAACAAATATTAAATCCATGACAGAAAACAGCAGCTCTTATACCCCTGCGTGAGAGATAAAACTCAGAGCAGGGGGAGATTTCAGGATGAAAGCCCCATATCAATGGGCTGGAGCGATAGCATAGTGGGTAGGGCATTTGCCTTGCACATGGCCAACCCAGATTCAATTCCTCTGTCCCTCTCAGAGAGCCCGGCAAGCGACCGAGAGTATCCCGCCTGCACGGGAAAGCCTGGCAAGCTCACCATGGCGTATTCAATATGCCTGCTTGAATGATGAACAGGAGGACAGTGCTGCAGTGCAGTGCTACTGTATCAATGTTACCCCATGCACCTCCCATTTGTGTCCCTCCCACTGTTGCTGTGTTGTGATGACTGAGGGGCTCCACCCTTGCAATGGGGCTGGGGATTGAACCCCTGCGAACAAGGCAGGTGATGCTCCACCACAGGTCATGGGTCATATGCGCCCCCCCCACCCACCCACCCAGGCTGTGAGCTAGGAGTCCTTTTATTTTAGCTTTTGGTTTGGCGGCCACACCCAGTGATATTCCATATTCAGGACTTACTCCTGGCTCAGCACTCAGGAATTACTCCTGGCAGTGCTCAGGACCAATATGGGATGTCAGGGATCGAACCCGAGTCAGATGCATACAAGACAAGTGGCCTACCCACTGTGCCATTGCTCCAGCCCCTGAGTTCTTGTTCTGGACACAAACTGCCCATGTGTCCACGGGCAAGTATGTGGGGCAGCTTGTGCGGGCATCCGTATGGTGCAGAAGCATGAGGTTGGCAGTCTTCACTCAGATGCTTCAGTCAAAAACAGGCCCACACAGATAAGAGTCAGCCTGGGGAAGCGTTCATGGTTCGTGGAGCAATCAAAGGGAAGGGTATTGCAGTTTGGGACTGCACTGTTGTTTAAGCATAGAAATGTAGAGAGAAGAGCCAGAGATGGGGCATATTCCAGCCCCAGCACCTCATGGTCCTCCAAGCACTGCTCAGGAGTCACCCCTGAGCTGTGCGCCAAAAAGTTATTAAAATGGGGGGGGGGGGGCTGGGACTGGAGTGGTAGCACAGCGGGTAGGGCGTTTGCCTTGCACGCGGCCAACCCAGGTTCGATTCCCAGCATCCCATATGGTCCCCCGAGCACTGCCACAGGTAATTTCTGAATGCATGAGCCAGGAGTAACCCCTGAGCATCGGGTGTGACCCAAAAAAATAGGGGGGGCAGAGTTATAGTGGATAAGGTGGTTCCTTGCATATGGCTGACCCAGGTTTGATCCCTGGCACCCCATATGGTCCCCCAAACCTCACCCTGAGTGATTCCTAAGCACAGACCCAGAGGTAAGCTCAAGAACCAAATTTTCCAAAAGCACATGCTTCGCCCACTGGAGGCCCAGGTTTAATCCCTGGCACCAGATGGGCCCCTGAGCTCTGCCGGGTGTGGCCCAGAAAGGAAAACCATGGTGACGTGTGTTTGCCTGTGGAATGTGGCATGAACTGGGCCTGGCTTAGAAGCCAGGTGAGATTTACTGCTCTGTCCATTGGGGCAAAAACTGAGAACCGACATGGGGGCCGGGGCAGGGAGCAGGAGACAATGGGGGAGTCACTGGGAGCTCTGCACCCCCCGCCCTGCCTCTAAGTTGCCATCTGGAATTCTCTCCTGGCAGTGCAAAGGGCTGTCTCGCTCTTCTCTCTCAATGACCCGGCTCTGAGTCCCGACATCCCACCCGCACACAGTCCTGTCCACAGCCACCTGAGCCTGGAGAGGGGCCCCCCAACGCCCAGGACCACCCCGACCATGAGGTGAGACCCCCCATGGGAGCCCCACGGGCCAGCAGGTAGCAATGTGTGACTTCTCTCAAATATTGCATATATTGAGAGAGACAGAGTCCCATGACCTTCACTAGAGACTGTTGTTGCTTCCAGCCTGGCAACAGTCACTGTGACGTGTGGCTTCTCCCGCTAGTCATGGAGCAGGATGTGCACCCGTCATTTCCCCCAGGGTGCCCTGGGCATTTGGCACTGACCCTTGGTGGGTGAAGGGGCCAGGTCTTACCCACTCTGTCACCCACAGGGCTCCCTAGGGACAGGGAGGCTGGTGGGCTGGGGCTGTCCCCAACACTCCTTCCATGGAGGAGAGACCGGAAAGGCCTGTAGCCACCAAGCCATGCCCATCTGCGCACCCATGGTGTTGTGTGGGTACCGGGCTGCGGCCATGCCCTCTGTCCATAGACAGCGGCTTTCTCATTTCTGCTCCATCTCTTGCTCCTCACTCTGGCTATGGGACTCACCCTCCGCCAGAACCGTTTCCACACCCCACAATGACGGAACCAGCAATGAGGTGCCCGCGGGGTGAACCCACGGGTCCAAGCAGGTCAAGCCGACGCTCGACCTCCCTCGGCCTTAAAGGACTCTCAGACCTCGGGGCCGGGAGCTGTGTGACACGGGGGTGGGGGGGGTCCTCCCCTCCCACTGATCCCAGCCCCCACCTTCACAGTGAGGAGCCACCCCTCGACCTGACGGGCAAAGTGTACCAGCTGGAGGTGATGCTGAAGCAGCTACACACGGACCTCCAGAAGGTATGGCTGGCCCCGGGCCTAGAGAACGTGATTCCATACTCAGGGTCCTGCGCCCCCTGCTGCTCGGCTGCCCGGGGCAATGTGCCTGCAGACCCGCCAGCATAGGCACAGAGCCGGGGCCGGAGCTGGTCTGCTGCTGTGGGCGACTGTGAGCACTGGCACCAGCAGGGCCTTCAGAGTAAGGGGTGCAGATGTCCTTTTGGGCGCGCCAGCAGGGCTCAGGACGGGGCCAGAGATGGGACAGTAGGTGACTGTTCATGATTGCCTTTCGGACATATAATGTTCCAAAACCCATCTCTGCACAGTGTACATTTCCCACCTCCCACCACCCCCAGAGACGGGACAGTAGGTGACTGTTCCTGCCCCAGCCCTTGGCACCCCATATGGTCCCCTGAGCCCCCCAGGGGTGGTCCCTGAGCACTGCTGGCAGGTGGCCCAAAAACCCAAACTAAGGGGTTGAGGGAGCCGGTGGGAAAGCTGTGGTTGATTGTGCTGCTTCATCCGATGCAGATGTTGAGCACCAGGGCTCTGAGCAGCGTCTAGGGGTGACTCTGCGTCTAGGGGTCTGCTGGGAAGTGGGGGGGCGTGGCGCCCAGGTGACCGTGCTTGTCACTCGGGGTAATTTTAAGTCTGGCAAAGCAGAGACAGAGTACCAGGCATGAGTCCGTCTCAGCGGGGCCCAGGGACCCAGGCACACTGCACCCCCTTTCCCATGTGGAGACGTGCTGGGAGGGCGTCTGAGAAGGGCTGGGAGAGTGGGCCGATCCCCGTCCTGAGGTCTTCACTGCTGTGAGGGTGCAGCTGGGTGTTAGGGTCATCAGGCTGTGGAGTGAACCCCCATGTCCAACCTTGGAGACCTCAACACAGTCCCTCCGAGAGCCGTGGCAGCAGGATTCGCCTGTGGCTGGGAACCCCCTGATGCCTGCTTTCCCCAACGCCCCCCCCCCACCCCAGGAGAAGCAGGACAAGGCGGTACTGCAGTCGGAGGTGGCCAGTCTACGGCAGAACAACCAGCGGCTACAGGAGGAGTCGCAGGCCGCCAGCGAGCAGCTGCGCAGGTTCGCCGAGATCTTCTGCCGGGATCAGAAGGAGCCCTGAGTCAGCCAGGCTCTATACCACCGCGCCCGCAGGGGCGACCGAGGATCCAGCCAGGCCCTGGCCCGGCCCCCCCGCGGCCTCACAGACCTGGCGCCCAGGGCCCACAGGCTCAGCCTCTTCCCAGCGGCCACCTGGGGTCGTGGGGGTGGGGCTGCCTCCCCAAGACGACGGCCACCCTCCTTCTGGGCCCAGTCCATGGGGGCTGCAAGAAGGCCCAAAGGAGCCCCAGGTGTGGGCTTGCGGGGCCCAGCCCCCTGCATGAAAACTCTCAGTGTGACCCATCCCTACCTCCCCCCCCCAAGTGAAGGCCACGGCCCAGACCTGGCCCAGAGCTTCGTCCCACCCCACAGCCCCAGGAGCCCAGTTTCCCTGGGCCTCCCAGGAGGGCCAGAGGACCCCCGCATCAGAGGCCACCTCTGGGGGGAGACTGTTTGCACATTCGAGACTGTTCATCATCTGTTTCCGCCCGAGGCCACCGTGCCTGCCCCCCGGACCCTGCTCCCCAACCTCACCCCACCCCCTCCCCCAAAAACCTGCCTGGGCCCGCAGCCGCCTTCATCTGCTTTTGTCTTTTCCTTTGCGAGTTTATCGGCCCACCACGGCAGTACTTGCAGTGGCTGCCCGGGCCCCCTTCCCCATGCTCCCGGGGGGGCCCTTCGCCGTGGACCCCTCTGGAGACTCTGCTTCTCTAAGGCAATAAGGGGCCACTCGCAGGCAACCAAGCCCGCAGGGTGCCACACTGTTCACCCAGGAGACAGAGTTCCTTTTTTTCCTTTAAAAACAAACAAGAAATATATATATATATATTTATTTTTTCATGTAGAGTTGCGCCAGAACGAGTCTGGACGGACAGTCTGTGGGTCCCATCAGCCTCCAGCTGGGGGCCAAGGCCTATCCACAGGCTGTGACTCGGCTGGTGGGAGGACAAGGGGCAGGCGGCCGGCAGGGGCTGGGCATGGGACCAGTGGCCCAGCCTTTGGCCAGAGACCCCATTGCCTTCTCTTGGGGACCAGAAACCTCAGGGAAGGGGGCACGAGGGGCTGCACAGAACGCAGGCCCTCTGGGAGGTGCCAGGCAGCACCCCCTCCCTGCTGGCATCTCCCTCTGGGGGGGCTGCCTGGTCCTCAGCCCTGGCCAACTACTGTGATGTCGCCCCCCCGCCCAACCCCTTCTCCAGATGGTTCTCCAGGACCACCTCCCTCTCCCCCCTTTCTTGAGTTGTCTCATATCTTCAGATCATTCAAAATCATTTTGGGGACCTAATCATGTACATTGACAAGTGTAAATTATGATTTTTGGGGGGTTTCGTTTTCTTGTTATTTTTAAGGATTTCTGCAAAACAAATCTATTTAATTTGAGGTTGGTGTTTTACCTGATACTGAAGATAGTGGGGTGTTTATGTTTTGTTTTGTTTTCAGATGTTGATTTGTTTCCTTTCCTTTGGATTTTTTTTTTATTCTTTTGTCTTTTTTTTTTTTTTATCCCTCCCTGTCTTGAAATTTTCTGGCATGTTTCTGGAGATTTCAAAGGAAATAAAATGTTTCATAGAAAAGGCTTGTGTGCAGCCTGGAGTCACTGACAAGAAGGTGGGGTCCCCCTTCCGTCCCCAACACTGTAACCACCCTCCATGCACACACTACATAAACATGTACACCACACACGTTTGCACAGAGACTGCATAGACATACGCTACATGTACATAGACCACATGCACATGTGCAGCGCGCACACACACACACACACACACACACACACTTGCTTCCCTTATATCTTTTCCTTCCACCGAGCAAGGACAGAAACCCAACACAGAAGTGACAGTGGGGATTCAGCAGGAAAACCAGCTTGGCTTGTGTTTTAGAAATCACCCACTGGAGCCCTAACCTGAGGCTGGCGAGTATATGGGGCTTTTTGTTGTTTTTTTTTTCATGCCATACACAGTAGTACTCAGGGGTCACACCTGGTGCTGCAGGTGACCAGGATGCCTCTAGCCCCAGAGATGGTGTGTGGAGTTTTGTGAGGGCTCCTGGCCCGCCCCCACACACCGCAGTCTCCTCCTGCAGGTTGGGGTGGGGGGGAGCGGAGCACAGCCCTTGCTTTCTCTGCAAGAGCCCAACATGGGCCGGGTCACCCCATGAGCTCAACTGGGGGACCAGGTTATTCACTGACCTGTGTATGTGTGTGCGCACTAGGGGCTCAGGTTCAGAATGACTTTCTGAGTGTGGAACTCCTGGAAACGCCACTACCCTGTGTCCTGTGGGAAGTGGGGATGTGCCCCCCAAACACACACCCAGGGCCCTCTGCCGGCTCACTTACTGTCAGAGTCTGCCATCTGCGACCTCACCGCCCCCCCACCCCCACTCCTGGCAAGAAAATCCTCAGGGAAGGACCCTTTGCCTAGAGCTGAACTGCCTCTCTGAGCTGGCCATTTTCAAGTCGCCTAAAAAATTCTAGTGTTCCAGACGCTGCCAGGCCCTCAGTGAGGCCCTGCCCCAGTCCTGCTGCCCTTCCCCCACCGGGAAACCTTGGAACAAGCTGTTCTCGCATCCCAGCACCCCGCCCTCCCCCACCGCGCCCCAGTTTCGGCTCCTCACCCCGCAGCCCCCCCCCCCCCAGCCCCTCTCCAGACTTCTCAGTCACTCCCACAGATGAGTTCCCATAAGTCTTATCTCTGGCCTGTCCCTGGATCCTAACGGCCTGCCCCCCCCACCACCACCACGCTTTCCCCTCTGTGGGTGCCTCGGTGCCTCCCCCTCACCACACCTCCTCTCCCTGCAAAGCCGCTACATTTTTTCTTCATTTTTGGGTCACACCCGGCAGTGCTTAGGGGACGCTCCTGGCTCTGCACTCCGGGGTGGGGGGGGTCACTCCGGGCACTGTGCAGGGTACCCAGGATGGAGCTGCGGTGCAAGGCCGGCGCCCGCCCCTCTTTCCCATTATTAAGATACCCCCCATCAGGCGCTCCCCGCGCCCCCCACAAGTCCTGGCGAGGGGGGGTCTCCAGCTCAGTCTGAGGACTCCTCCCCCACTCTGCTGTCGCTGGTTCTTGGGGGGATGGGAGCGGCGGATCTGGGGCTCGCCCAAGCTGTGTCCTGGTTCCCTCCCGCTCACCCCACTGCCGGGGCCCCCCCCCCAAGATGCCCAAGTCGGGGGGGTCCTTCTCCGGCCAACCCCTTCCCGCCCCAGGTGACACCCCGGCGGGGGAGGTGCCCCTGGCCGCCCCTGCCCCCCCCTCCCGACGCCCGCCCCCTCCCTCGGCTTCCCGCCGCAGCTGCAGCAGCCGTTGCCAAGGCAACCACAGCTGGCGGGGCGGGCGCCCCTCGCCCATCCCCCTCCTTCCCGCGAGGCGAGGCGGGGAGCACTGGGACAAAGCCACGGAGAGGAGGGGTGCGCTGGGGGGGGGGGGTCGGGGCCAGCTCCAGCTGTTAGCCTGGCTTGCTTCTGCCCCCGAAGAGGCCCCCCCCTTCCCTTCCTGGGTGACGCCCCGCGGCAGCCGGGAGCACAGAGGTAGGCAGAGGGGCCTGGCCCAGTTTAATACACAGAACAAGTGAATTCACAGCAGAGGCAGGCAATAAAGGAGACGCTGACAGGGGGGGTTCGCCGGGCGGGGGGACGGCCGCCCCCACGCCCACCACCTCCCCCACTTGCAGTCTCAATTTCCCTTTTTTTTTTTTGTTTAAACCCGAACAACAAACACACACAACCACGAGAAACAACCACACCCCCTCGCTCCCCCCAAAATGGCCAGCGAGGGAGGCAGGGGCAACCCGGCCTAGCCGGGTGCAGGGAGGGGGGGAGGGGGAAGGGAGGGGACCGCAGTCTGTGCTTCTCATCCCAGCGGGTGCTGGGCAGGGCCCACCCTGCGCAGGTGCGGGGTGGGGTGCTGGGGTGTGGGGCAGAGTTCAGAACCATGGTTCACTTCATGCAGAATCCACAGTGCGCGCCCGAGGGCAGGGGCTGGCACGGTGCCCACCGACCCTGGCACCACGGGGTGTTGCCCACCTTGGGTGGGCCATGGGCCAGCGCTGACTCCAGGAACTGGGGGCCGGGACCTTGCCAGGCGGGAAGCTGGCAGAAACCAGTGCCTGGAGGAGTGGCCCGGCCACCCCGTCGGCCCTTAGAGGACTCTTTGTATATATTAATTTCTTTTTTTTTTTTTAACTTTTTGACTTTTTCTTTAGAAAAAGGCTGTGTCCATGCCCCCGGCCGGTATCCACCACCCCTCGTGCCCGCCCAAAGGCGGGGTATGGCTTTGAGGGGAGCAGAAGCGCCTGGTGCCCGTTTGCCAAGAGCTGGAAAGGAGCAGGGGGGGTCCCTGCAGGGCACAGCCCCAGGGGCAAACATTCCACTTGCTGGGGAGGGGATGGTCCCGCCTCCCAGCCTCCCCTTCCTGCAGGAGCAGTGGAGGGGGGCGCTCCAAGGTGGGGGCAGCCCCCAGGTGCAGCAGGCCTAGGTGAGGGTGATGTAGGCAGAGGCCTTCTCCTTCAGGTGCCGGAGACAGAGATGGCAGCTCCAGCTCCCTGGGCAGGGACAAAGGCAGAGGTGGGGAGTGAGGCCCAGAGCAGGGGGGCGTCCGCCCCTCCCCGACAAGAAGACAACACCCGCCCCCCTTTCTCTCACCTTCTGGGGGCTCCGCCATGGGGGGGCTCAGGCAGTACATGTGGTAACCCCGATCACAGTCGTCACAGAACAGCAGCTGGTCCTGGGGGGTGAGACCCGCCCAGCTGGCACCCTGGGGGCACGGGCACCAGAAACCGGGGTGGGGGGCTGGGGCTGGGGTAGGTAAGCGTCCTAGCAGGGTGGCCCTGGTGAGTCACTGTCTGGGGAGGGCTTCGGGGGGCACTCACGTCGTTCTCCGAGGTGCCGCAGAGGCTGCAGGATTTACACTCGATGCACTGCCAGCGATAGGTGCGCACAGCCGCTGTCATGTTCACCGTGAACTGTAAACATGACGGGTGTCCTGGGGGGGGGGCGGGGGGGCGGTTAGGGGGTCACCTGGGCCGAGTCCTCAGCTCGCATGCCCCACCCCCCTGCCTGGTGACCTCGGAGAACGACGTGAGTGCCCCCCGAAGCCCTCCCCAGACAGTGACTCACCAGGGCCACCCTGCTAGGACGCTTACCTACCCCAGCCCCAGCCCCCCACCCCGTTTCTGGTGCCCGTGCCCCCAGGGTGCCAGCTGGGCGGGTCTCACCCCCCTGTCCCGGATACCAGGACAGCCACACACTGTCCCCCACAAGGGGCCTTCTCCCGGCCCCCTCCTGCCCCTGCTGGTCCTATACCCTGGTTCCCAGCAACCCACGCTCATGACAGAGGGCGCCCAGCACCCCACAGTCCCTCACAAGATGGGGCGCGCGGTCAGCCCAGCTCAGCCAGACACACCCGCGGCCACTCCCAGAGCCAGCGCCACGCGCCCGGTCGCCATGCCAACCACATCTCACTCCCAGAACACCATGACAACCACAATCCCTTCCCCACTGCAGCGAGCAACCACAGTCGCCTGCCCACAATCCACCCGGGAAACCATGTTCTGTTAACCACACACCTCTGTGGCGGCGCCGTTACCCGCAGAGCCAGGGCCGTGGCACCGCCACCCCAGAGCTCAGCACAGCCGCCCCACCACCGCCCAGCAGCTCTGCTCCTGCTCCACAGAGCCAGGAGCACCTGAACCCCCTCTCCAAACCCCTCCGTTCCCCGCAGTGATCCTGGGTCCTTGGTGTGCTCTGGGTCCCCCCAGCCCTCAAAAGGACTATCTGCCTCCATCCTCCAGATCCAGACTCCGGGAATCCATTGCACCCCCAAAACCCTCGTGGGGAGTGTCACCTGATCGCCCACAGTCAGCACAGGAGATGAGGTCCTCGGGACACCCCGTCTTCTTTGAGCCCCCCAGGCAGAAGTCACAGTAGCCATTGGGGATGACAGTGCCATCAGGGGCCTTCTTGGCTGAAAGATAGCAGGCAGGGGTGAAGGATGGGGGGCCACAGGGACCCCCTCAGATAGTGTGAGACATGAGAGGGTGATAAAAGCCCCCTGGTAGGGGTGAGAGAGGATCAGCGGGGACCCATAGGGCAGGTCATAGGGCAGGGATGGGGGACTTACAGGGCCCCCCAGGCAGGGGAGGCAGCAATGCAGGCGGAGGGAGGTGTTCCCTACCTGTGTGTTTTCTCTGCGCCTCAGGGACCCAGGCCAGTTCCTTATAAAATTCTGGGGGTGGAGGTCAGAGAGGGGGGCTCTCACCAGAGGCCACAGCCCTTGGTCCAGACAGGGAAGTGGGGAGAGAGGGCAGCCCCCCCCAGCTGTGCCAGTAAAAGAGAATGGGGGTCGAGTCATTCTTATCACGACCCCCCAATCTTTGAGAACTGACCAAGATCCTCCTTTTTTGTTTTATTTTGGCTTTGGGCCACACCCAGTGGAGATCAGGGATCAATCCTGGCAGGCTTGGGGGACCATATGTGGTGCCAGGGATCGAACCTGGGTCAGCCACATGCAAAGCAAGCGCCCTACCCACCGGACTATTGCTCCAGCCCTCTGACCTCTCCTCTTTATTAAAAAACAAACAACGTGGCAAATCCAGCGCGCGCACGCACACACACACACACACACACACACACACACACAGAGCCCTGCGGCTGATCATGGGCCCCTGTGCCAGCCTGGCCCCTCAGAGTCGGGGCACCAAGGCCATCTGCTGCAAGAACCACATCCCAAGGAAAGATTCCCACAGAGGTGCCTGGGTTTTTGGTCGGGGGAGGCAGAAAAAGCTGCCCCCCCCCTCAGAGATGAGGGGAAAATTCCCTCCACACACACCCCAACAGATCCTCCCCAGTCCTCCCCCCCTTCTCAGCTGTCAAGGTTGGCACCGGATGGGTGAGAGGCGGCGCCAAAGGCTCCTAGGCCCCTGCCCCTGCCCCCTGGCCCGAGCTCTTTCGAGAAGGGCAAAAGAGGGGCAGGGAGGGAGGGAGCCAGCTCCCACCCCCCTCCCCAAGCTCTAATTGAAACAATAAATCAGACCCAGAAATATTACGCCCGGCCGGGAGCGAGGGAGAGATGGTGGGTTGCCATGGCAACCCCGGAACCAGCATCCCCATGGTCGGTGGGGGGAGGGGCCGCTGAGCTGGAGCCTTTCCAGAAATGTCTCGTGTGCCCCCACCTCCCCGCTCCGCTCCACAGCTCCCCTCCAGCCCACTTCAGGGCCCCCCCACCCCCCTGGGCAGCCGCTCACGTTTGTGGTTGTTCTTCCGGTGGAAGGGCAGGGCGTGGCGCTCGGCGTTCTCCTCGCCCTCCTCCTCGGCCAGGTGGGTGTGGGTGTAGTGGTAGCTGAGCCCCGGCCGGTTCTTATACCGCTTCCCACAGACTGCGGGGGGGCAGCAGGGGGCCGTCAGCCCGCCCGCCCCGCCCTGGCCTTCAGGAGCCCCCCAGGCCCCCACACACAGCTGCCAGAGGCCTGAGCCCCCCACCCCGCCCCAGGGTCCAGACCAGGAGGGGGAGCAGAAGGGGCAAGCGCTCGGGGCCCCACTCTCTCCCCCTCTTCAGGACTCACTATCACAGACATACGGCTTGTCTCGGTCCTCCAGGGAAGCGGTGTCCTGGCGTTTCCGGAGACCCCCGATGCCATATGCCTGCGGGGAGCCAGTGGTGAGGGGCCCAGGGAAGGGAGTGGATACAACCAGGGTTGTCCACCAGTGGGCCTAAGAACCAGGGTGTAGCTGGACCCTTTCTCCCTCCTGGGCACCACAGCCCTAAGCCACCCGCAGCCTGTCTGGCAAACACCCTCAGCGCTCGCTCCAATCCTCAGTGCCCCCCTCTGTAAAATGGGCACAAAGTCTCCTCTCCGCCCTTCAGGCCACACCGGGGAGTAGGTGTGGTCTGAGCTGTGGGCAGGTGGGGGTGACAGGGGCCTGTTCTGGAGTGGCCCGTCACCTTTCCCTTGGCCCTGTTCTTCCTCCTGGGAATGTCGTCCTCCAGGTCTTCCACCTCGAGATCATGCGGGAACTCCAGTAGCTGCTGCTTCTGGGCACCGGAAGGGAGGGAGGAGAGGAAGGGGCGGGAGGGGAGAGGTGGGTCAAGAAAGTGGAGGGCAGGGGCCAGGGCAATAGCACAGCAGGACTGAGCACCTGCCTTGCACATCCCAGCCAACCGGGGCATCCCATAGGGTCCCCCAGGCACCGCCAGGAGTAACCCCTGAGCATCACTGGGTACGACCCAAAAAGAGCCAAAAAAACTAAAAAGGAAGTGGGGGGCACTGTTCAGCTAAGGGGGAGATCAGGGGGTGGGGGGGGCAGGATAAGTCAGGAGCGGTCCAAAGAGACAGGGCGTGGGGTGTGGAGCCTGGGGGGCGGGGATGCGGGGCAGGGCGCCCCGGGGTGCTCCTACCTGGCTGTCCATGATGGCCTCCTCCTCCTTCATCTCCATCTTCTTCTCCCCAGTCTCAGCGCACAGGAGAGCCTCGAGGACTGGCCCCTCGGGAAGGCCCCCCTCCTTCTTCAGGGGTGCCTCACAGTCTGGGGAGAGGCCAAGGTGGGGTCTAATCCCAGCAGGCTCCACCTTCCCTGAGCCTGAGCGGTGACCCAGGTATGGGAGTTGGGGGGGGGACGGGAGAGGCCTCCCCACCCTGAAACAGACACATGTCTCACAACACACACACACGCGCACACACACACACACACACACACACACAGAGGCGCCAGGGTGGTCATGGCCGGCGCCCCAGCTTCACAACAGGGCCAGGTGTGCAAGGGACAGCAGACACTGCGTGGGGTCCGCCCTGACACGCATGGGCAACCTCAGCTCAGCTCAGGGACACTGGCACACACGGCCACACACCTGGGGACTCTCGGAGATGGGCCACTGAGCAAGATAACACCACTCATACCCCTGCACAGGCACCCCTCCAACACTTGGGCGTCCCCTCAGGGACAGACCCAGACCGTCCCTCTGAGGCTGTCAGACGCCCCAGAGGGACAGTCAGGGTGACCCAGGGAACACACTGGGCCCCAGCTGGGGCATGATCAGGGAGTCACAAGGCCAGACGCAGGGAATCCACCACACACCACGGGAGACACCCCAGCACCCCACAGCAGGCGGGCACACCAAAGGAGACCGCGGGGCACCCTGGTACACCCAGACCCAGGATACTCGGGGACAGACACACACTGAGCCAAAGAACCACGGGGAAAGTCACACTCACACTCAGGACACGCTCTCGCTGCCCCATCGGGCACACACGACTGGGCCCCCCAGTCCCCCAGAGCCGACACCCAGGAGCCAGGAGTCAGTCACTAGCTGGTGCAGGGAGAAATGACCTCAGACAGGCATGCCCAGCTGCGGGGTGCGGGGGTGGGGGACAGCCCGAGCCCCGCCCTCCCCCACGCCCCCCAAAGCCCGCAGCTCCGCCCACCGATCTTGTACTCGCAGGGCCGGAGCCGGGGGTCCTCCAGGATGTTGAGTCTCCGTTTCTTCCTCCAGCAGCGGGCGGGATACGTGTAGATCTGTCCCGGGGCCAGACCTGGGGGGGGGCGGAGGGAGCCCCCCGCTGTCAGGACACGCCGCCGCCCCCCTCGCCCGCCCCCACCTCCCACCTGCCCGCCTGACCCCCGGCGGGTACCCGGGCCGCGGTGGGTCTTCTCCATCCAGATGTAGCAGTTGTTCTGGGCCACCCCAGTCTGCGAGTCGAGGAACGGCAGGCGCAGGCTGCGCTCGGCACACAGGCGCGCGTTGTAGCTGCGGCAGTGCTCGATGGCCTCGCGGTAGAAGTCCTCGCCTAGGCTGCGGGGCACGGCTTCAGGGGAGCGGGCCCTGGGCCTCACCCACCACCGACCTCACCTCCCCTCACCTCCCCTCCAGTCTCACCTCCGCAATGGACTCACCCCCCTCCACCTGCCTCCCCACCCCCTCCAGTCTCGCCTGCCCACTGGACTCACCTCCCCCTCTCCCTTCCGGCCTCACCTCCTGCTCATGTCTCACTCCCACCTCCAGTCTCACCTCCCTCACCGGCCTCCCCATCCCCTCCAGTCTCACCTCCACACTGGACTCACCCCCCCCTTGGATCCCCACCCCCCCCAGTCCCACCTCCACACTGCACTCACCCCCTCCACATGGCTCCCCACCCCTTCCAGTCCCACCTCCCCACAGGACTCACCTCCCACACTAGACTCACCTCCCCCTCTCCCTTCTGGCCTCACCTCCCCACTGGTCTCACCTCCTGCTCCAGTCTCACCTCCCCTACCGGCCTCCCCACCCCCTCCAGTCTCACCTCTCCCTCTAGCCTTACCTTCCCCTCCAGCTTCACCTCCTCCCTCCCCTCCAACCTCACCTCCTCTTCCAGCCTCAACTCCCCCACAATTCTCACCTCTCTCCTCCAGCCTCACCTCCCCCTCTCCCCTTCCAGCCTCACCTCTACCAGTTTCACCTCCCTCTCCCCCTCCAGCCTCACTGCTCCCCTCCAGCTTCACCTCTCCCACCCCCCCATCTCCAGTACCCAGGAGCCCCCTGCCAGGGACTTGTGCCCACCTTGACCCAGTGAGCAGGGACACACAATATAGACAAAAGTGTGTAAGGCCCTGTCCAGATGGCACAAATGCAAACACACAACTCTAATACAGTTACACTGGGTTTGCACACAAAGAGAGACAGCCCAAGACTCACAAAGAAGAAACAGACAAATTCACCTAAAGGCACCCTCAAATTTATCTACTGAAAAACAAATAACCCAAGTCACAGGGTAGAAACATGCAGAGCCCACAGACAGTCGCACACATCCAAAGACACACAACATAAACAGTCCCCCACACAAACAACATGCCGACAGCTCATACCCCTCACACACACACACAACTATAGAAACAAACTACCCAAATATGCATCTACACGAATTCAAAGATACAAAACAAATAAAGCACTCACACACACTTCACACTCTACAGTGAAATCAGATTCACAGAGAAAACAGTTACAGACACACAACATGGAACCAACATCACAGGCCACCGATATCCATATTCTGAGTATTCAAATACACAAAGATAGACACACACGCCAGAAACAGGCAGGTCCGCTCATATTCACAAAAACTTACACACCCACAGACACACAACACGACCGCTGCCGTTTCAGTTTCAAATGCTGTGGACGCACTCTCAAAAGACCCAAATAGCCAAAGCTCCCTGGTGTAGAATAAAAGAAATGATCCCACAACCACACACACAGAACCGAGAGAGAAGCCCTGAACACAAACAAGTGACAGGCTCCACACCCCCAGACAAAGGTGTGCGAGCTCCTCCCGAGTTTCCCAGGGCCCCGCTCCCCAGGCCACCCCACTCCCCGCCTAGCCCTGGGGCGCGGGGAGCCCTTCCCCTAGGAGGACCCGAAGTTCCCCCACACCCTCGGCTCCTGCAGGAGCCGCGCGTCGGACCCCATTCTTGCCCGAACCCACATGCACACACACTCGCTGCCCCTCGCGCGGTGACAGCCCCGAGGCACCCCATCGGCCCCACCCCCAGCCGCCACACACACACACACACACACACACACACACACACACACACACACATGCACACATGCACGCACACACACACGCACATGCACACGCACAGGCACGCGAGCGCGCGCACACCAGCCCGCGCAGCCCCGCCCGCGCGTCCTCCCCCGCCTCCCGCCAGCCCGCAGCACCTCAGGGGGCCGGGGATGACCGTGGCCATCTTGCTCCCCGGGTCCTGCCCCCAGCAGGTCCCCGCCGGGTCGGTCCTCCCAGCGCTCGGGCGGGCGCTGAGGCCGCCCATCCATTCATTCCCGGGGGGCGGGAGCTCGGGCGCCGCAGCCAATCACGGCGGCGGGGCGGGCCCGCGCGGGGCACGCCGGGAGCTGTAGTCCCGGGCCGGGGCGCCGCGGGCACGCACGGCCGCTCCCACACCGCCCCGTCCCCGGGCGCACACGCGCACGCCCGCACATGGCGGGTTACACACATTCACAGGGAAACTCGCACCTCCCACACTGACTCACGCACACTCCCGCTCCCACGCCCTCCAGCCGACTCACATACATTTACACGCACACACGCGCATTTCGATGCCGCGAGCCGTGGGGACTCCCTACAAATGACCACGCAAATGTCCCACTGACATGCTGGCGCCACGCGTGACTCGAAAACGCCCCTTTCTCCTTTTCCCCCCTCTTTCCCGCCTAACCCAGCCCCCCCCTCCTGTCCCGGTCTCCCCCTCACAGTGACCCCCACCCCCACTTTCTTGCTCACCCCCTGACCCGGTAGGCCGCTGCTCTAGCTGGAAGCTGTAACCACACTCCCCGGGTTCAAATCCCGCTGCGCCCCTTGGTGGTCGTGGGACCTCGGGCACAGGACTTATCTTGTCGGTAAGAGGACGGGTGAGGAGTGAGGGAGTAAATATGGGCCAAGGGTCCCAAGAGGCGCTCCTTCCACAGAAAGGCTCTGATCTGTACTCAGATGTGAAAGATGACCGCTGACCCTTGAGAGATGAGGGGGCAGACGGAGGTTTGCTCAATAAGATACTAGTCCCCTCCAAGAGCTGCGGGTTAAATGCTTTACGGGGATTAACTCAGACAATCCTTACAGCGACCCTTCTGGATTCACCATGACGACCCCTACTTCCCACTCGAGGACTCTGGGGCAAAGGAAAGAGATGTTACACACCTTCTACAATAACTTCTCTTCTATGGTAAGTGAAAGATGGGACCGAGGGAAGTATTCATTCCCTGAAGCAGGTGGATCCCCAAACGCACCCTACCACTCCTTTCTCCACTGACTCTACCCCCGAGAGACCCTCAGAGAGTGAACTAGCTCATTGAGCCACACGCACTGGCCAAAGTTCACCATACACAGGGGAGTGCCCATCCCACCCCCGCCTTTATATGAAGTTTGTTCGGGTTTGAAAATGCATGGAAACTACCCAGGAAGACGGTCCTAGTGCCCCAGGAGGCACTGGGGTGGACAGGTGAGGCAGACAGGCCTTCAACTCCCGCTTGCTGATGGAGACCCCTTCAAGGCACACACACACACACACACACACACACACACAGAGGCACACGCGCACACACGCTCCTCTCTACTGTTAGCCCTTTCTGCAATCTCCAGGAACTGGGGGGGTGTGGGGCGGCAGGCATCTCTGCCTCACCTCTGGCCCAGAATCAGGGATAAGAAAGCTACATCAGGGACACTAGCTCCCTGCACTCGCTGGCCTCCTCAGCCCTCCTCTGCAGGGAGCCCTGCCCCCCAGAAGCATTAGCTCACTCAGAGGGCGGCCTTGCCACCCTCCTCTCTCACCTCCCACAGATCCCCAAACATGCCCTCTGTCTTCCTCCTTCCATTGCTGCCCATACCTTCGGCCTCTAGCACCCCAGAACTCTCGCCAAAGGATCAGTCTGAAGCCTGCGTGTAGCTGCTCTCCCATGCTGCTAAGGCCTGCCCCCCACAGCCCACAGGCACAGGATTCGACTCAGATCCAAGCTGGAACTTGAAAAGGGCTCTCTCTCTCTCTCTCTCTCTCTCTCTCTCTCTCTCTCTCTCTCTCTCTCTCCCTCCCCCACCCCACTCTTTTTTTTTTCTTTTTTGGGTCACACCCAGCAATGCACAGTGGTTACTCCTGGATTTGCACTCAGGAATTATTCCTGGCGGTGCTCAGGAAACCATATGAGATGCTGGGAATCAAACCCAGGTCGGCGGTGTACAAACGCCCTACCCACTGCTCCAGCCTTCCTTTTTTTTTTTTTCCAAAATGGGCCACACCTGCAATGTTCAGGGGTTACTCTCAGGAATCACTCCTGGCAGTGCTCAGGGACCATATGGAGTCCCAAGGATCGAACCCAGGTCAGCTGTGTGCAAGACAAGCACACTGCCTGCATCACTTCGGCCCCATCTCTCCATTTTCTTACCCCAAATCACCTTCAAGACCCCTATCCCCTGAACTCCCCGTTCTATTCTCCTACTGGACTCTGAATATCCACAACAGAACCTTTACTGAGGCCACTGGTCATTCAGGGTCAGGCAGGTGCTAAGTACTGAGCACACACTACTACAGCCCCAGGATCATGGGATGGTTGGACTTCCCAATTCACAGGTGGGAAAACTGAGGCCCAGGGAAGGAGGATTTAGGGTTTGTATGCGTTTCCAGAACCCCTGAGGGTCTCCCCCTCGCTCCAGGTGCCATTCTTTCTCTAAATTCCTTCAGAAAAGAGGCCCCCCTCACCCCCGGAGCCCCTCAAAAAAGGTGACAGTGAAGAGAAGTGCTGGCACTCCTTCCCCAGTGCCATACACATGGGCCAGAGCCACGAAGCTAGGCAGGCTTCCCCGTGAGTGTCTCTCCTCAACGACACAGTGTGTCACTTGGAGAAGGAGTGAGGGGTCGTGGCAGCAGCGCGCACCCCCGCAGCCGGGGCACAACCTCCAAGCCCCCTTTCTGCACACCGCCAGGCCACACACATGTAGGCGGCTGCAGCGAAGCCCCGGGTCTCCTCCCCCACAACGTCCCCCTCCAAAGCCAGAAGCGATCGAGGGCCTCGCGTCCAGCCGTCGCACCACCCCGGGGCTGCGGGTCCCACTCCCGGCCCCAGCCCCAGCCCCAGCCCCCGTAGCTCAAGGTCAAGGCCGCGAGCTGCGGGGCTGGGCGGAAGGGTGGGGAGGTCGCCCCGGCCCCTTTGTGCGGCGCCGCGGGCGCTCGGCCCCCGCCTCCTCCCCGGGGCCGGCGGGGGGCGGGGAACGGGCGGGGGTGGGGGGGAGGGCGGCCGCGCGACTGTCACTCGGCGCCCGCTGTCACCGCGGGGGAAAGCGGGTTGGGGGCGCGGGGACCCGGGAGTCCGGCGCTCCCTTGCCGAAGAGGGACGGAGAGCGACGGCGAGTGCCGGGAGAGGGGCGGAGCACGCCGAGCGCTGGGAGGGAGCGGACCGGCTCCCAGCCTCCGGGCCCCCGAAGGCAGCGCAGGCACCGGGGAGGGACGGCGGCACGAGGGGAGGAAGCGGCTCCCCGGAGACGGAGGGTGGCGGCAGCACACCCCTCCCCGGGCCCCGGGGCCCACGGGCCCCCCGGGGCTGGGACACTCGCCGGGAGCGGGAGAGATCAAGTTCCCAGCCGCGCGCGGCGTCTAGGTCCTCGAGACCCCGGGAGAGCAAGTCAGAAGCAGCGGGGACCGAGGCGGGACCCTCGGCCTCTCGGCTCCCACCCTGCGGCCGAGGTCCCCCGAGAGAAAGAGGGGAGATGGAGGGAAGGTGCTTCGACGAAGACAGGGAGGGTGGTGGACACCCCGAGCCCCGAGTCTGGTCGTCGGCATTCCCGGTCCCCAGCCCGCCGCCCGCCGCCCCCCAGACGCGGAGGAGAGATGGAGGAGGAGAGGGAAGCCCCTACCCCCACTTCTGGGTGGGGAAACGGCCTCCGCCACCCCCCCACCAGCCCGCGCCACATTCCTTCACTGACAGCGACAAAGAAGAGGCGCCCCCGCGACCCTGAAGGGGCTCCCGCCCCCAATCCCAGGGGAGGACAGGCGGTGGCCGCCCTCCCCCAGTGATGCGGGGGCGCGCCGGGGGGCCCCATTCAACTACCATCCTCGCAGCTGCGTCCCCCTCCCCAGCGTGCGGGGGGAAGGGCTGGCGGGGGGTGGAGGGGCTGCCGGGACTAAGGGACGTGGACGGCGGGGACACTCACGACTTGAGCGGGTTCTGAATGGCGGTGGCCATGGCCCGCTCGGCTGGGCCGTCTCCGGCCCGGGGCGCCGCTGCCGCTGCGCGCGGGCCCAGCCCGGCCTGCGCCGCCCGCTCTGCCGCCCAGCGCGCTACGATTTCATTCATTCTTGGGGCTGCGGCGCGAGCCGAGCGGGGCGGGCCGGGGGCGGGGCCCGGCCAATCCCCGCGCCTCCCGGCGCACGACGGGACGTGGAGTCTAGGGGCGCGCGGCGGCGCCCGAGGGCGCCCGGGTCGGGACTACACGTCCCAGGGGGCGTCGGGAGGACCGCGCGCTCATTGGCTGCTAGGGATACGGGGCGGGGCGGGGCTCGCCCCGAGCATCCTTCTCTCCTCCCAGGCGGGTGTTCCACTTCCCACTCCACGTCTCCGTCCTGCAGGCAGGCGTGGGCGTGGGTGGTCCCTGGCATTCGGGGGTATGTCTCCCCAAAATAGGTGATGGCTCCAGGCCCCGTCGTTTCTCCTTGTCTCTTGCCTGGGTGGTTTTTTTGCATACCAGTGAGCAGGGCAAGTGATGAAGCCTTTGTGGTGGGTGCCAGGCACTCTTGCAAACCCTGGGAAGATATAGCCAAGACCCAGCAAAGACGCTTCCCTCAAGAGGCTGACCTTCCAGCCGGAAAAGACAGATAATAAACAGGAAAACAAACAGCCATCTGAGAGAGTATTAAGTGTTTTACGGAAAGGGACTGCTTCTGTGTGGAGGAGCCATTTGAGGAGGGCCTGTGGGAGGAGGGGGCGAAGTATGTTGGCCTATGAGTAAGAAGGCTGGTGTCACTGGGGCAGAGAGAGTACCGGCAAGAGGGTAGGGACCTGATCACGTAAGGCCTTGTAGGCCATTATCAACAAAATGGATTTTGTTCTAAGCGCAATCAATCATCCTTGACGGGCCTCTACTTTTACACTTGTGCACTCGACAACCCCCTGGGCAAATCCTGTTATCTCCTCATTCACAAAATAGATCCTGGAACCAGCCCTGCTCTCCCGTTCTCAGCTCCCAAACCTGGTCTTTCCCCAGCTGCCATGTCTCCTGGCGTCTATTCTCTCCACACCAACCAGATGGGCTCTCAGGAAGGCCTGGGCGCTCACCAATTTGCCTGGTGGATTTCGGTACCATCCCAGGGAAACACGAAGTCCTCACTACCCGTCTCTGACTTCATCTCCTGCCTTCCATCCCTGGCTAACCTGGCTACAGCCATGCCCATCTCCACCCTGTTCCTGGAACATTCTAGGCCTGCATCAACACAAGCACTTTGTACCTGCTGTTTCTTGCATGACACTGTCTCTTATATTCTTCGGGTTTGTGATTGAAAGTCACCTTCTCAAAGAAAACTTGCATTCAAATATCATTCCTCCTTCTTATGTCTCTGGCATAAAAAAACATGTTAATCGGGGTCATAGACATAGTATAGTGGGTAGAGCATCCCATATGGTCCCCTGAGCACTTCCAGG